GTAGCATTGTTTCCTTGTCATATGCTATGTTTTTCTGTACATTATGTATATGTACTGTATCAAAGGACTACAATCTGCTCAAAATATAGATGTTTCATATCCTGATCAATAATCAGGACACTTTCACAAAAGCATTAACATTCTAAAGCAGTGAGCACTGCTGCTGAGGGGAAATTATTTTGGAGGTTGTTCAGGACTCATGTAGGAATCACAAGGATGTCAGCAGAGCTAATTTCCTTGTACCACAGCCCTTTTCTGTGGTCACAGTGGTAAAGACAATGACAGCCTGTGCTGATATTTCTCTTTCTGTCTCACAAGCCATACATTTCAGAGAGAGCTGTGGATCACTGTTCACCATGAGAAAAAGCTTTGAAATGAATAAGAAGATAATGGAGTCAAAGTTGGAATGAAAGTAAGCTCGACATAAACTAAAAAGAGTCCAGTAGTTTGGTCACCATCAGCTCCTAAAGTCATGCCATGCTGCTGCCAGTTTTACTAAAAATCTCAGAACAGCAGGTAATCTTATTTACCATATGCTAAGCACGGTGCAGCAGATGGACCATGGCATTCTAGTCTTTTCTGTGCTTTCCTTGCACTTGTCAATTCAAGCCCTGGGAAAAAGGCTGGTATCCAGATTGATAACACATGGATGTTCTCTAAGGGCTTGACTCTTTCATCAGTGCATTATTGCAGAAAGGACTGAAAATCCCTTCTCTATAAATATAAATGAAGTTAGGGATAGTTGGTGGCTCTGAAGATGGTTTATTATGTCTGTCTTAAAGTTGTCAGAAGGTAAGTCAGTCTTTAAAGAAGAGATTAGCCAGAGCTGATCAGCTGATAGAAGAGTGCTATGGAATATCACATGTAAAGTATCTCCTCAAATAAACTAATAAACAAAGGAAATCTCAACTTATAGGCACTGATGATGGTTAGTCTGGGCACATGCCTGTTTCACTAGTATGCATGAGCCTTCAGTAACAAAATTAAGTCTTTATAATGCAATCTGGGACTCACTGGATCTTATATTATTGAGTTTTAGATTGTTTTTTTCTTTGTGAAGTAAATTTTATGTGGCAGACTCTAAATTAAATAGAAAACTAATAACAGTGTAGCTAAGTAGACAGTTGGTGTCCTCAGAATTGAGGAGTACAACAACAAAAAATGTCTGAGATTACTATTAAAATCACTTTTAAAGATTTACCTGAAGTCCTAGTCTCTGTAAACAAGCTCTTTCAAAAGTGAAATTTATCATCATTTATTCTGCTTCTACAATCTTTTACAAATCTGAGGACCTGCTCAGGGGCCTTCAATAAGTATAAAGTCTTGTGGCGAGTATTTTTTCAAGAAACTAATTAGACAGTCCATAGCATTTTCGAGGTGAGTTAGGAAGGAAGATAAAACTTCTGTTACCATATCTTTATGCATACTCTCAGATTTTAAAGGTACTATCAAAATTTCTCTGATTCACTTTGCAATCTATTCCAGTAAAATGATAACATAAGAAAGCTTAGAGGACGGCTTGGGAACACCTCTTCAGTGGGTTCAATGTATTTTTGGCTAAGTACAAAGAAGAGGAAGGCACTCAGTGCTGTTACCTCTGAAGCCTATCCGCTCCCATTGGAGACATCCAATGACTGCCAACCATTCAAGCATGGAAACGTCTTCATGTTTTCTTTGTTTCAGTGTCCTGCACAAAGCTTTAATTACTGGCCACTACTAGTGGCAGATCCTGATTTGAAAAGATGTTTGGTTTAATCCAGAAGAGATTTAGTGACATTACTCATCTTTTTAAACTGGTTAGTTTTCTGCCTGCCTAGTGAACTGAAGTAGCTCCACATGGAAGGTAATCATGAGAGTCAGTGCAAAGGAGTGGGAAGGAGAACATTGTATGAGGACAGAGACTGGGACCTTGGAAGGTATGAGCTGGGTTGTCTTAAACTGCCATGGGACTGTAGACTCCTTTTACACACCTGGTTTCTAAAGTTATTTTTACACAGGAAAGAAATAGCATTTTGTCCCGTTTTAAATGAAAGCAAAGACACCATTCCCTGTAATATTCAACTTCTGTTCTCCCCTTCATGAAGAAGGGTCCTTTGTGAACTCCCTGGTCTCTGTGGTCATCTCAGTCTGTACTGAAACTAGCAGCAGTGATCTGTAGCACTGCCATTAATGAAAGACCTCTCCTATTACAGGGTTCCAGTAAGTTGAACAGGCTTCCAGCATGAGTTAAATCAACTATCCAGGGAGTAAATATGTGCCCTGTAGTGCTTCCATACCCTGGGTTGGAGCAGTGGCTGGACTGGCTTATGACACTGGGGTTCCACTTTCTTTGTGGTCTGTACAACGCTAAACCAAACGGCAGTACTCGATAAGAACTAATATTAGAGAGATTTTTCACAGGGTCACAGCATAGCTGAGGTTGGAAGGGAAATGGAACCCCCACTGTTCAAGCAGAGACACCCAAAACCAGTTGCCCAGGACAGTGTACAAATGACATTTGAAGATCTTTAATGATGGAAAATCTGCAACTTCTTTGGGCAGCCCATGTGCCATTCCTTTACCTGCACAGGATAAAAGTGTTTCCAGATGTTTAGATGGTGGTCCTGTGTTTTTAGCTTGTGGCCATCACCTTTTAAAAATCTTGGACTATTACAATGAAACATGTTGCTAAAAAGGGTGTGTCTTTTTTATTCTTAGAGACTGTGGCAAAAAAAAAAAAAAGGAAAAAATCCATTTACATAGGGTATATGCATTTCCCTCATATCTATTCCACTTTCCTGAAGAAAATGCTGTATATTTGGTTAATGGTAAATGAATCTCTGATCTCCATTTATCAGTTCTTTATTTATCTATGTACTAATTTCCAAAAATACAATTTCAAATTCATCTCTGATAATCCATTATACTGCAAATTGTTGTCCCATGTATTTTAAATAGCAGCTGGGATAATCTGATAAAAATACACAGCAATATTAGCTGTTCTAATCCAAACATTTACCAGAGCTGTGAGCCTGTAATTTTAGAGAAAATAGGAAAAATCCAATGTCTTTAGAGAACTTAAATGCCACAAGTTAACAGCTGCAACTTCATGTAGCTGTGCATCACTCTGAAATCATAATCTCAAGTTAAGAATGCTCTTCCCAGACTGAACACTCACGATCAATTTGAATAGAAATGATTCACTCAGAATTTGGGAAGCAAAGCAAAGATGTTGAAGTGAATTATTCAGAAATTACTTTTGAAGAGGAAAGTAATATAAGGTCAGGACTTCACAAAGTGGTTATGAACACTTAGGCAAAATCCCCATTAACCTAGGAGAATGCTTTGGGTGATGTGTTGTATCTATACATTATGAATCAGTTCTGAAATTTTCTCTTCACTGGGTTGTGTCAAATAGACTTGACAACATTGCATTGAAGGCTTAGTGAAAGTGAATCGGACTCTTGCTCTTTTAGTCTTCTTAATATACCTTATAATGCCTTTGAACCCTCTTTCCTCCCCTGCTGTTCCTGACTATTCTTCTGTGCATTTTTGAACTGGATTTGTCAACCAGATTTGTCTAAGATATAGCCTAAATTTACCCACATCTCTCCAAAATTGCAAATGATAAGCTGGAGTTAAGCCAGTTGACTTTAACAGGAATATGCGTAGTCATGCCTGGTAGATCACAGTCTCTGTGGCTCTTCTGATCAATGCAGAGATATTAATTTCAAATGCATATTTTGTGCTTGGAAGTAACTTTGACCTAACTAATTTTTTCCCTTTCATTGAAAATACATCTCAGCCTTCAGTCAGTTTGTAGCCAGGACCATATGAAGTATCACCCAAGGTATCACCCAAAGCCGCCTGGAATCTGTCTGCCCACCTGAAGACCATGAAAATGTTAAATTGGATAAAAACTTCCTGTTCAACTCTATTAGATAAGTTAAATATCTGTCTTTTTTGTCTGGAAGAAGCCAAGATAAATGGCTCTTATACAGGGAAACAGTGAGTTGTATTGTAGCTACTGCAGAGAATTTCACATATGCTCTGCCGTGTTGTGCTGGCACAGCTCCGATGCAGCATGAAGAAAGGGCACATTGCTCACACTGTTAGCACATATGATTAAACATACAGCAAGACAAGAAGCAGTCTCTCAGAAGAGTTTTAAAAACCACTTACTTAGAAAAACCAATGCTTCCAAATCGCTGAACAAAATAAACAGCCCATGGGGAACACTTGATCTTATAATCTGAACTACCAGCCACTCTGCTGCCATAGCCCAGAACACTCAGATGTTCTGGACACCTTCCAAAATTCTTGTCTCCATCAATCTCTAGATGGTGGTTTTAAAGTGGTTGTTTTTTTTAATTTTCTTCACTTCTTTCTTTTTTTTTTCCTTCTTGTTTTAAAATACTTTTAAATTTGCTTTCATTGTTTTTTTCTTATGGAGCTCTAAGAGCCATAAAACACATAATGCATGAAAATATTAATTTCCTGAACTAATTTCTTGTCACTTATTGAATGGCAACATGAGCTATATGTTTATCCCATTAATAACAATACTCTGGTTGTTTTCTTCAGAGCAGATGCATGCATTACCAGATGAAAGCGAAGGTGTCCCAGCTGTTTTCTATGACTTCTGAAGCATCACCACCTTTTGGTAATGAAATCACCAAAACCTTTCTTCTGATTTTGTTCATCTGTCTGTTTTTTTCGTTTTAATGGGGACTCTGCTTTTTTGATATACTTGGTTACAGTAGGCTTTTGCAGTCATGCTTTAACCTCATGAGCAACTGCATTAATTATTGCAAAGTGCCACAACAAAGAGCAACAATGTTCTTTGAGGTGTGCATTACACCAGACTCCTAGAAGGGTGAGCTTTTTAATAAACCCCGCCTTGCCACTTTTCTCAACTGTCTATAAACGAAGCTTACCTGAGCAAATCTCTCTCACACATACTTATGACTGTCTATGCTAAGGGACCACACTAACATACATCAAGCAAAGGTGAAAAGCCATTGCACATATAGGTAATTTTAATCCATTCCATTTTTAAATACCACAATAAATTTAATTTTCACAATAAATTAAATAGCCATATTCAGTTTACAAAATAGAATTACTTAGTGTGAAACCAGTATTTACAAACATTGTACACTATGTACACCATGTTTAGCTTTGCTGACACACAAGTATAGAAGAAAAAATTATTTGACGTTTTCTTGACACATGATTGACATGCTACAAGTGACACTATGGTCCATACAATAAAACAATAGTGCAAACTCACCACAGGAACTCTAAAACAATGTAGTTTGTATGAGATAAGATATTCATTTAAAATAATAAGAAAATAGTACTATTCACTCTCGTAAAAATTCAGCACTGTGTTTAAAGTGTCAGTATTCCTTTAGCAATACACATACCAAATATAGCCTCAAGATTATGCTTTCTCACAGCTTTACAGACTTTTAACAAGAATTTTTATGGCATAAAATAATGTTCTGCTTAGATCAATAAGTATGTCACATAAACACTTCACTAAGCGAGAGGAACACTGACCCTTTTGACAGTGTCTGACTTTGTTTCCCTAAATACTTCCTTTCCCTTTATTATTATATCTTAAAAGATGCAACTATATTGACAGTAAATTTATGTTTGTTACTACTCTGTAGAAAAAATCGATCCCACCGTATATTTGGTCACACACTGCATTATGTACACGTATGCATGAAAAAAGTTACTTTGCTAGTCGTATCTATGAAAAGTGCATATTTCAGCAGAGGCATCCTATTGCATACCTCAGGTGCAACAGAAAGTGTTGTATGAAGTTTAGGTTAGGGCCAGTTAAATGTCCTCCCCGTTATCTGGTAAAATTTTTGATTAAAAGGATGGAAGAACTTGCGCAATTTGGTAATGACAGAGGTGTCCACCTCTGGATGGATGCGTCCCTTGCTACCCGCCAGGCACTTGTTAAAGACAATGTTAAATCGCAAGCAGTAAAACCCTCTGGTGGCATTGAAGTATAAATTGTACTGACTTATCCTCGGAGGAAGATTTAGGAACTTCTCAACCAGCTGGAGTTCTGGCAGTGGTTCTGTGATGAGCCGGTCTCCATCCACAATATGAAACTGCTCGATTGGGAAGTATTTTAACCACCTCTCCAGATGTTTTGTGTAGATGCTGGTTCTCACTGCCTTGTACTTAGTGTTCACTTCGCAGGTATTAGGATCAATTGCCAGCTTCTCAAATTTGTAGTAAGTTTTGTTCTTTCTTTCCTTGCCTTCCAGCACCTGAGTGTAATCAGAAATAGCTCTTGTGGTAGGTTCCCTGACAATGATCAATAATTTGATAGATGAGTTCATTTTGTAAATCCTTTCAGGTACTTCCTCGGTGATAAAATACGCGGGGCTTTTCTCAATTGTTATTTGATGAGGGTAAGAAAAAGGCATTTTTTTCCGGTACCACTCAATTCCCTTGGCATAGTTTTCATCATTGTCAAAGAAGTGAATCTCTTGAGAAGCTTTGACCACTGCAGGGTGAAGGTTCAGCATCTCCAGTAGTGCTCGGGTGCCTCCTTTCCGCACCCCAATGATAATGGCCTTGGGAAGCTGCTGAACCAGATTGTGCAGTCGGATTTGTTCCTTAGTGGCATTGCCCTTTCGAAATTCATGGAGCAGACCTCGCTTGAACTGCAGGGCTCGCAAGGGGATTTCGTCCTGGCCACGGGGTCCAAAACGACCATCGATGGGGCAGAGGGGCTGCAGTCTGCAAGAAAAATAAGAGGTACTTGTAAAAAGAGGATATCTCTCAAGACAAGTTTTATGTGCAAGGGAATCATGCTCTTGGAAACATATTCAAATGTAATGTGATGTGCCCATCTTTCAACTCTTATTTTATTCTGCCAATGGTTACATAATTGTAAATTTTTTTTATTATTTAATCTGGGGTTTTTTTTGCTCTGATTTAGCTGGGAAATTCCTAACTTGACCCATCTGCCCTTTGCCAGCATAGGAACTAATATTACTGTTCTTGGGTCTTCTTGAACCTTGCCTAAACTTCCACATTCTTCATTATTTTGTGATGGGTTTGGGAGTTTTTAAGGCATTCTAAAATGAACTATATTTGGACATTTTGATCTGAAAATCCAGTTGATTTAAGTAATCTCTTTCCCACACTTTTCTCATTCTAGCCTGAAGTCTTTCCATTGTGTTGATCCAGAGATGGCTTTTTAAGTGAAGAGGAGGAAAAGGGATGAAAACCAGATTTCTAAGCATCACCTTTTATATTTCTCTTCCTCTTTACAATAAGCCCAGTGTTTTTCTGCCAGTCAGAACCAGAAAGTTCAAGGTTCTGGTTCAGATAAGGTTAGCAAGGTACAAAAAGAATGGCAAGAAGGCAAGAAGAGTTTTTAAAAATGCATTTATTGCATTGTTTCATCAATGATTTTCTTATAATCACTCTTGTATCCTTCCACTGAAGGGACTCCTCCCACTGCATTTTGTACTATTCTTTTATATTCAGCTATAATTATTTTCCCTCTTTTCTACTTTCTAATTCTTTGTTTTTGTATCTGATACCACTGGATCCAAGAAGTGGTTCAGTAAGAAAAATGTTAAAACTTTACTTTACACAACCTTGAATAAACTCTCGTGTCCACTCTCAAATCAGCACTTTGGACATTATACAGGCCAATGTTTCACTGAAGATTAACTTGGTGTGTACAGAGAGCTTCCAAGGTCCTACAAAAATATTATTACTAATTTTTTGGAGCCATGCTCTCCAAAATTAAGGATATGTAAGAACAAAGGCTGCCTAGGCAATTTTAGTGTGAGCTTGCTGTGCACATATATTATGATACAGTTCTTAAATTACACAGCCACATGCTATTATTTTTCACAGGACCCCTGCCTTAGCCAGTATACCAGATGGGCAATGCTCATTAATAGCTGTTTAGGTATTCAGTATTTATTCTAGTTTCTCAGCATGTGGTCCCTCACTCATTTACTATATATTATTCAAACCCTGCTTTCAGGACATAATTATTTATTTCTTTGCGGATTTTCCATCCATCACTGCTTGTTGGGGTCTCTAATTTGACACTGATTCTAGGACAATGGATGGTTGGGACAAAGTAAGTCTGATCTCCCTGGCTGACCTGTTAGCTGCTTCCTTGATTATCCAGATGCTGAGAGATATAGCCTGTCCAGACAGAGCCAGGGAAACAATCCATATGACATTGCTGGGTTCACATGAGCTCTAGCTAAATCCTGCAGACTAATTAGAAAGTGTGATGTAAAGCGAGTTCCTGTTATTTCTTTTCTCAAGTGTCTAGCTTCTTCTATTACTTTGCTCTCTGCCATCTACTGAAAATACCTGACTTGGTGGCAAAGACTGAATTGTTGAAATGCTGCAGTTTGGTCAGACTGTGGTGTGGCTGGTGGGAGCCTTAATGCATCAGCAAGGTGGCAATTAAAAATATAAGAAACAGAAGCTGCAATTGTTGTCTCTGTTCTCTTCCCTGTCCTTCTGCGTATTTGTTATTTGTTTTCAAGCAAAGAGGATTCCACAACAGCAGTTTCAGACCCATCTCAACTAATTTTATCTCTTGCTCAAAAAGACAGCTAGCACTGCCTTCAGTGTAACACAACAGCTTGTCAAACAGGGTGGTTTCCTTTGAAAATAAATAAATACTCAAGATATCCTCTAGCCTAAGGGAAAAGATTCAATGTTGTTAGAAGTCCTTCCTCAGCCTTTCTATTTCAGGCTTTTTTACTCTTTCCCCCTGATTCTGCTCTCTCTAAACAATAAAAGTAACACTTAAAAGATCTTGGCGGTGGTAAGTAAAGGGCAGATCCTCATAGTTTAATCCAAGATGTAACTATTTACTCTTATATTGCAACATGCTGATATTCTTAATTGTCTGAGTAACTTTCCCATTAAATAACAGTTCTCTGCTAAGAAAGAGTATATGGAACTTATTATATCACTGAGTTGCTCTCCCAAAACAGGTAATTTCTCAAGCTGCTACATTAAAACTCAACAATAATTTTTCTTGAGAGAACCCACCATAAGCAAATTAATCCCCAGAACCTGTATTTCTGAAAAGTTTCAAAACAGCTGGAGTAGGTCTGGGCAATCCTAATGAGCTGTCTCACCGGATCCAGAATACTTCCTAATTTTCTTCCAAGGGAGGTGTCACAGCAGCAAAAGATTATAAACCTGGTTCCAGCAGGAGTATTTTGTAGCATGGAAATCAGATGTGGAGGCCCCTGGTACTGCCAGTCAGGGACTCAGGTAACTCAAAGACTAATCCAGATATGCTCAGAATTGCCACACAATCTATTTGAGCTTCTACATGTGAAGCAGATCCATGCACTCAGGAGCTGAAGGAAGGTGGCCTCCCCTGGAGGAAAGTGCTCATTTTATCAGATTTTATGACTCAATGAATCACATAAACTAGAGGTAATTTCCCTTTGGGCCTGAGGAAACTCAAGACACTGCCATTGGAGAGCCTAATCTGAGGCTATTAAACATGAGCCACCCCCAGCTCACTTGTTCAAATTAGATCAGCATAAATTAAGCATAAATGAATCTGGATTTCTTCCTGAGCAATGAGTTATTCCAAAGTCTGTTGAAGTCATTTAGCATCCTTTTACTGAAAGATTCAACAACGATCAGGCAGAAGAATATTTCCAGTTAATTCATCTGTGCCTTGTCCTTTCTAGTACTTCTTTCTCTCTCTATTTCATAACAAGTCCTTACACAGGACTGCTTTTTAGCAGTGTGCTATGCTTCCACTGGGTAAAGCAAGAGAACAAAACTGAATTTTACTGCCATTGGCAACACTATGCATGAAACCAGTGGAATTCATTGCCTCAGGAGGTCAGCAAGTCAAATACTGTGGCGAGATAATTTTATAGCCATCAGTAAATTCTGTAGATGTGCAAGCATAGATAATAGAAGAAGGTTAATTAGACTTCATGCCTCTGAGCATAAAATATACTTTTGCAGGGACCAGTAAGGATTTCTGCTTCCATTTACAGAATCACATTAGTCTTGGTGAAATTTCTACTTCTGAAGTATCAGAGATGGTTTCACCATCAGGAGAAAGAAGTTCCAGTTTCAATGCACTTGATCCTAGCTGAGTACATGGTCTCCTTCTGGAGTGGATTTGAGGAGTGGAAGAAGGCACTCAGTGACTGCCAATGGAGCCCACTCTTACCTAGCAGTGGGGCATAGGTAGCGGTTTTCACTTTCCAAGCACCACATATTCACACAGCACTCTGTGACAGTTTTGAAACCACCTAATATGTTGCATCATTTAAAAGAAGGACAAGAATATAGCATTAACACTTGCAAACTGTCTACCTGATTCTGGAAATCGTGTAGGTTTTTTTCATTCGTGTTTCTAAATCAGCTTTTTTTCTTTTCTTTGTTGTTGTTGTTGTTGTTGTTGTTTTTAATATGTTGTGACTTTGTGCAGCACCTACCATAGCAATCCCAGGCCATTTCAAAGCTAACAGGAACAGCAGTGTCAGTGCAGGTAGCACTACTGTTGCACTGTCAAAAACCAGTCAAAAGTCAGCCTGGTCAGAAGTGCCAAACACTCTTTGATTTTCTCTGCTGCGCTTTCTACTACTCTCCAGGAAATCATTTGCAGAGAAAACCCACTTATTTAGCACATTCAGCTACAGAAAATACCAGCTAATTAACATAGTTAAAATTCTCAAACCCTGAAGCAATCTTTCAAATGAAATAGTATTCAAAATTTGATGGGCTGCTCTGCAGGCTCATACTTAATTTTAACTACCACTGTAACACATTAATTGCTTGCTCACAAATTTAGAAAAGGAGATGTATAAATACATCATAACTGTTTTGCTGAAACTAGAGGTCAACACACAGATGTACACAGGCAAAATGAGCTACTGTAATGACATTTTTACTGGATGCTACTTTATTTCTTCTCTGAAAACAAGTGTCAGTGTGTTCAGAATACAAATGGACAAACAGAAAAACTTTGACAGGGATGACTGTGACTATTTTCCTACTCTCTTCTCCAAAGGGTAGGAATAAATAGTGAAAACCACATTAAAATAGCCAGTCTTTCTGTCCTCCTGTACAAGTAGACTCTAAGGAAAAAAAAAACAAGAAGCAAACCAAAAAACAGAGCATGAAAGCAATCAAACCCTTGAAGCAGAAACTCAGACAATCTTAGCCCATTCTACACAAGAGAGCAGCTACTTAATGACTTACCTATCCAAACTCCCAACTCTGGCAACTAGATATAGGAGACTTCCAATAGCAAGGCTGCCTAGCACAAAGAGCTTCTGTCTCAGCAACGCCTGCTGTTTGAATAGCATGGCCCTCCATCAATCTTCAGGACTTCTTCAGTCTGCAGAGACAAGAACACATAAAACACTCCTCAGAAAGCATAGTATTTGCAGGGTGGTGTTTAATCAGGTGCTGCAGCTGATTAGGCCACACTTGCAAAATCTTTCCAAAACTGCAAAATAAGTAGTTAAACTTCTTTTTTTTCTTTTTTTTTCTTTTTTTTTTTTTGCTATTGTTTTTCAGTCCCACATGGCAATGTATCTGGGGTAGGATGATAATTCTGGAAGTGATAGCTCAGCTGCATACACCACTACTAGGGCAGCTGGATAGCCACAATGAAGGTCTTTACTGCAGAAGCTCATACGATAATAAGATACTTGTTAGGTAAATATGTTTAGATTTTAAGCCTTTTGGAATCAGACAGAGTTAGATTTCAACAGAGATTTAAATGCCCTGATGTCAAGTAAAGCTGCAGTAACCAGGAGTTAGGCTTGCAGGTCCTGTGTACAGTTTATGGAGGCACATTTACATTGTCGCTATGATTATTAGAGGGTCTGCTGGAGAGAAATCCAAAAAAGATGTCCTGATTCATGCCAGCAAGTCAACTGTGACAGAACTGAGAAGCAGGTAGCTGGAGTAGGCACAATAATGTTTTTTTGGCATCAGTGTATTCTATCAGCTGTGTCTGTGCTGGGTGTCAGTCTCGTCAGGCATGCCTACATTCCCAGTTTTTAGCAATACCAAAGCATATATTTTAATTTATTTTTCTGATGTGCTCAAATACTATAGTTATTGAGGCAGTCAGGAGAAAAAAGACATGACCTTATGCCAAGAGGATTTAACCAGGAGGTTCCCAGCCAAGGTAGAAAGAAGTGCTGAGTAAAACTGTCTTTAGTTTGACTCTTCCTCAAACATTACATTTATGTTCTGGACTGGATTACATGTGTTATCTGTGAAGATCTCTTTAGGAGATTCAGACCTGGATTCTTAATACATTCTTACATGAACTGAGGAGAAAGATCAGCTCCTCCTTTCAGAGAACAGTCAAAGATGACATGGTGCTTCATTCTGTAACAGTTCTGAGCTTTCTTGTAGGTATGCAGGAGAATTAAGTTTCAATCCTCTCACTGGACAGGAGGGGTAAAGCCATACCATCTACCTACCTACCTAAAAAAAATGCTTTCACCACGAAATGGTACAAAAATCATAAATATAAATTGTAATCACCTGAAATATTGATCCAAAGTCTCATTCCCTTTATCAGGAAACATTTACTGTATTATGTAGTAGTTTGAACAAAAACTTTTTCTTCCAAATTTTGGCTGGACTTATTATGAACAATTTCTGATGTCAAGTTTCTTAAGTTTTACTACAGCAAAGTTTCTTTTGCAACACATTTTCTTCTTTTCCAGCCTTGGGATTTACATAAAGCAAGACTCGGATACATTAGTATAAGCATGAAACTATATACAGAGGCAGAATTTTCAGTGAGATTGCAAGGTTTGACTGGCCATTGCTAAACACAGCCTGAAAACATTTCTTTCCATTTCTGGAAACATCTTTTTCCATTTCTGCTAATGATGTTAAATTTTTGGCCCATAAATCTCTCTTTAGAATCCAGGATACAGGCAGGTAGATAATACAAGCTGGAAACCCTTCCCAGCAGGAAGCACTCATGCAGCCTGCCTGCCCCAGTGCTGGCTGTGCTTAAAGGTGCAGATGCAGGTCATTCCAAACTAGTTTTCTTCAAGTGTGGTTGAAAAGCCATTCTGAAGCACATTTATTTTACTGTTATAGAGAAAGCTTTCTAATTACAACCCACCATCTCTTGATAAAAGAGTCATGCAACGCTGAAATTCTGATCTGACTTGGTCTCTAAAGCACTTCCGCTGCAATAATAACAACTCCTTTTACAGCCAGGTCACAGATCAGGATAACCTATCATGCAGGATAACTAATCATACAGAATATATTGCTTTTTACGTAGATAAAAGCAACTCTGTAATAAGAATTCTTAGATAAGATCTTTATTGCAACAAGAATAATATAATACACAGAGTAAAAGGAGTTTGCAATGTAACAGAGAGACAGAAGAAGTATTACCATCCTTTAAGAAATAAATGAGGAGTAGAGGTAGAGAGAGATTAAGTGATTTGCTCAAGGTCACAGAGAAAACCTATAACACCAGTGAGATTTAGTCTGAAATAAATCCTTTCCAGTGCTTAACTATATGGCAAACTTTTGCCTTTTTGTCATATACTTTTTTTTTCCATAAAAATCATGCATAAATGAGGAATCCTATACATTGAGCAAGGCAGAAAATATAGCCAAAGTTGAACTATTAAGAAAAATGCACAAATGCTGCGCCTCTGTGTCGATATATTACTGCTAATTACTCTTTTAACTATTTAACTTAAAAAGATTAAAGAGAAGGACATAAAGAAGGGGGTGAATTTTCATAGGTACCAAGTTTTAACTATTTCAATGCTGCTCCCTCCAAATGAAGGTTTCACTTCAGTGCTACAGCAATGAACTTTGTCTCTCAGAAAACAGATACATACTCAGCCCTCTATACATTAAACTAAAGTGCTATCTATGTGTTCTCCTTTGTACAGGCTCTTGGTCCCCTCTTCAGCCTGCCTGCAAGCCTTAATGAGGCTGTGGAGGTCATCAGGCCACAACAAAATCAAATTAATGACAAGCTGTTTCCTGAAATACCTTCTACAAGGCCTCATGACTTCAATATTAATGTTTGAAATTAGAGTCAATACAAAAAAAACAACCAACCAACCAAACCACGAAACAAACACAAAGCAAATCAAGCAAATCCACCAACCAAAAAAAGCCCAAATCAGTTCCAGTTTTATATTTGCACGTACCTAAGTACAGAAAACTTTTCCACAGAATGACAAGTATTAAGCACACACTAGAAACGTAAAGATGGGATTATTTATTTGTTTGTTTAATTTTTGTTTTAATTTTTAGCATGTTACTTAAAGGCCATGGAAGGAGTTCTATTCCAGAGAGATTATTTCAATAAAACTTTCCCTAGATGTTAATTTTTTTCTTGAAAAAACCATAGAAAAATTATATCTTGACACCAGAAAAGGCTACACCTTGCAATGGATGTACTGAGACAGCTCTGTGTGCCAGAGGAGAGGACTGAAAATATATTTCTATTTAAGACACAGAGTTAATACAACCAGAATGTGATTAAGGTGAAACTCCCTAAGGCGAAAACGTTGCTGGAGACTAACACAGCAACACTTAAATGAAATGGAAAGAAGAAATGAAAAGGAAGAAATTAAAATTCTGGGAAGTATTATCAGGTGTACAAAGTTTTCAGTTAGGAATGTATACTTTTAAACTTTGCAAGAAGCTGGAAGGCAAGATAAAATGTAATCCAAAGTGACAAGATTTTTAGCAGTTATTTGAGGCAAATAAGGGTGTTTTTAAAAAATTTTGCTCTCTTTTAGGGACAAGAGCTGAACTGTCACAAAAGGTGCTGACCAGTGGGAGGAGGGTTGGGAGACAGCTGCAGGCAGAACTTTCCCAGAAGCTGAATGCTGAATGTGGAGCCTCCCACCCAAAGAGATGACAGCACACTGTCACACAGCTCCAATGGGCTTACATTAGAAATATCTGTCTTGGACAATTTAGTTAAATAGGCATACAAGAGATTTTTTTTTCCTGGCTATCTGAGAGAGTAATAATGCACAAAGAGCAACAAAAATTGCTGAATGCATGATTTCTAGAAATGTGTGAAACATCACATATATTTAAAAATGTGGATTGTAAATTCTGTGTAAGTTAAAATTAAAATGTGGTTTGTGATTTCAGATGTACAACTGATCTGAATTGTGAGACTGACATGGTACAGTTCAATAAAGAAACATGAGAAAGTAGCCTTACCAGTGTATTGATGTGAATGCCTCATTTAACCCCTTTCCCTACATTCCCATTTTGCTGGTGAGAGGGCCTGGGTTATTGAGTGAATTGCCAAGAGAAGACAGTACAGCTATGTAGAACTCTGATGATAATAATAACTGAAAAATAGATGGACTGTTCATGACAAGATTAAGGGATCATGTATAAAGGTAGATAGTGGGTATGCAGGACAAATAATGTAAATTTTTTGTGAGCTGTTGTAAAAGCTAGTTTTTGGTTCAAGTTAGGGGAAAGTCAAATGAGTAGGAGAAAACAGGAGAAGAAGCATACTAGTAATGATGGCATTACTGATAAAAATCTGAATTGTGCAGAAGCACAGAAAAGAGAATCTGCTGCTATAATCACTTCCAAATAAACAGACAATGAAACAAGAAATCACCAGGAACTTGTTTGCAAATGACCAAAGAGAAATTCTTGGACACATGGAGCAGCCATGAGAAGATCTTATAGATAAATGAATAGCATGTGGTTGATTATGGATGGAAGTATAAGAAACAACAACAACAACATCCTTTCTTTTTGCAAACAGGCTGAAGAGATACAGTCCTGATAGAGTTATGTGATTAATCAAAATGAAGTACAAGCCAAAGGCAAATATGCACAAAGGAGGCTGAAAAATAATAAATAGGATGTGGGTTTTATTAGTATTTATTGTTTGGTTTGTTTCTTTTTTTTTATTATTTTTCACACCAGCAGGGGTCAGCTGTTGACCAACAAATGTTTGTTGTCGTGCACTGCAGAAAGATCTTTTGAATTTATAGGAGATTTAAATACAGTGACAGGAAACAAGTCAGGGAACTTATGACTGGGAACGTTTGCATTATGTCTCTTGAATGTTAACTACAGTTTCTTTAATTTCTCACTGTCACTAAAATTCATACAAATCAAGCACTTAGAGTTTTTCTGGGGTATGAAATCATATGGTGATTGGGAAAGGAGGGAATTTGTGCCTCAAACTGTGTGCATTCTCACCAGCTCATGGTCTTAGTCATGGTCTGCCTGGAAGAGCCAGTCTGTTACTGCCCCAGCTTCTCCTCCAGGTCCTCCCAACTCCCTTTTCTCTGTCTCACTGCTGAGGAAGGTCTGGGCTAGCAGCAAGGAAAAGCTGGAGTG